CCGAGGGCCCGTAGCCAGATGGAGGAGTCGTAGCTGCCCGCAGCCTCCCTTGTACGGCAAAGAGCAAAAAAGCCTTTGAGATCCCTGCGTTTGGACCCGCTGGGGGCGAGGGGAGGTAGCGGTGGGAAAGCTCGGCAGATGGGTTTGGGGATCTCTCCAGAAGCGTGGTCCTCCCGCGCTGTCATCTCGGGTCTCTTTCCCGAAGGGCCTGGGACTGCTGAAGAGATTCAGGAGCAGCTTCTGTAGTTCCGTATGTTGGGATGATAACGGAAAATGAAGGCTTTTAGTTCCCTAAAATACAGATAGTGAGTGCCAAGCCTTGCCTAATGTGTTTTTCCTGGCATGTGAGATAACGCTGAAGTAAATTACTTCTGTCTGTCTCTAATAGTTCGATTTTTGTTGTTTAGCTGGCAAAGAAATACCACCCTGATACAAACAAGGATGACCCTAAAGCTAAAGAGAAGTTCTCCCAGCTGGCAGAAGCCTACGAGGTAATATGCAGGATTTTATCCTCATGAAAAGGAAGAAAGATTGGAGGGTAGATGAGGCGAAACACCACTTCTTCTTGGGTGTCCTTCCTGTAAAACCATGGCTGTTTTTTCATTTCCCGTACTTTAGGCGCGAGTGCCTCTGTCCCAGTGGTGTCTCCAGGAAATTACTTAGCCCAAGTATCTGATTTAGCTGGATACGTTTTGGGCCGTTTGAATTTGTGCTCTTCCTTAGCAGTGAGCGACTGGCAGGGATGCCGTGGTCGCTGCGGTGGAATTATCGGTCAGCTTAAACAAACCGACCTGTCGGCAGTTACTAGCTGTTTGAGACGGAGGTGCCTTCCACCGTGCTGCACCCCAGCCCCGTTTCTTCCTGCTCTTCGGCTTGTTCAGAAATCTTCCCCTGCTGCTTTTTGCGCTCGTGGGTTTTCAAATTTACCCCGGCGCTCTTACCACTTAATACACGCGATATAGTAATGATCAGCTACGGAATGGAAGTTAGCCTTGCTTATTATAACTTGGTAAGATCTTGTCATTTTCCTGACGACGAGCTGAGAGATACCGGGGAAGAAGGAGCTTTTTGGTAATTCGCATGCTGCCGAGAGCTGGATGCCCTCCTGATGACGGGGAGGTCTGAGAACGTGGCCTTGCGGCGGTAACGCCAGTAGCCTTGAATTCTCCCGGGAGGTGCCGCTCTGCAGGTACAGGCTGTCCAGTCGCTCGGGATCTGGACAGCGTCCTGATGGCCTCGTTCTTTTGCCCCAAAGGTATTAAGTGATGAAGTGAAGCGGAAACAATACGATGCGTACGGCACGGCTAGTTTTGATCCTGGCGCAGCAGGTGCCGGCGCTGGGCGGCAGTACTGGAGCAGCGGTCCGTCGATTGATCCGGAAGAGCTTTTCAGAAAAATCTTCGGAGAGTTTTCGGGATCCCCTTTCGGCGATTTTCAGAACGTCTTTGACCAGCCACAGGAGGTATGAAGCGTGTTTATTTTCTGAGTAATGAAATGAAAACGAGAAATGAAAAAACACAAAAGCTGGAGACGGACGCTGGCCTGTCACAGATTGCTCCGGGAGCGAGCTTAAGCAAAGGATTTCCTTCTGGGAATGTCAGCACACGAGCGTCCCGTTGTATGGGTGGGAGAGTCATGTATTTTTGGTAAGCCGTGTGGGTGCGTTCTCCACATGACCAGATAGGGTATTTTCTTCTTCCTGGGCTTCAGCTACTTCATGTGGTGTTCACTGGCACCAGTTGGTGCTGCCAGACAATTCCATCATTGTAGAGGCATCTTTGCTGCTGTACGTTGATTTACATACGTCTGCTTTGATCTGTAATGCTAAAACCCACAAAATACCTTCAAACTATAAAACAAGCCTTCCAGCGTTAGGTTTGACTGCTTAATTGTCTTAATTTTGCAACTTAATTGGCTTAACTTTGCAGTGGAGCCCATAATAAAGCAAGACCTATTTCTCGTTCTTTGTACCGCAGCGAAATGCTCTTTTAAGTATTGACAGTGTTGGTTCATGTGCTGCCTTCGGAAACGCGTGCTATTTGGTACTTCTGGCTTTACTAAAAACGGCCTTTCTGCTATAAACAGAATTTCCTGTTTTGTGCGGTCATCCTTGCTGACGTAAAGAGTTTATTGAGGAAGAACAGATACTTTCATTGGGATCGAAAGCCTTCTCCCTCACCTGTTGCTGCATTCCCATGAAAGAAAGCCTTTAGAAGTACTGAGAGTTTTCCTGAGGGCAGAAAAACGCTTGACTTCTATTTTTACTTCCTTCTTTTCTGTTTTTATACCTCGTTTTTGCTACACAACTGCTCATCAGACTGGTGTAATCGTCATCCCTGTAATGTCTGCTATCCTTTTGTACCCCTTTTTATTTCTGTGAGACAGATTATCGCTTCCTCAGTTCTCTGCCCCCGGGGGGGGGGAGGCCTCCTGAATTTTTTTTCCCCCCCCCCCCCCCTTACCTGGATGTATTTTAAGCATTGTTTGATATTTGGCCTAAAACAATTTCAGTCTGCTCAAGACCCCATCGCGTATCAGTTGTAGATTGATGTCCGTGTTTCCTGTACAGTATATCATGGAACTGACATTCACCCAAGCGGCAAAAGGTGTTAACAAGGAGATTGTGGTGAACATCAACGACTCCTGTGAGCGATGCAATGGTAAAGGACACGAACCTGGTACCAAAGCCCAGCGCTGTCACTACTGCAGTGGCACGGGCATGGTAAGTGCTTTTTAAGACACAGGTTCTGCTGCGCTTTTCCTTGTTGGGGCAAGTCAGCGAAAAATTCTCACTACAATCATCAGCTTATCTTGGGTGAAGCCGAGTTAATGCGGACTTGATGTTAACAGGCACTAGGAAGATTTTCTTTGTATTAAAGCAGTGCTCTGCCCAGCTGAAAGCACGAGCCTTCAGGGCTAGATCATCTGGTATCGTACACCCAGCAAACCGTATTTATATAACGTAACCGTTCTGAAATTACTTGGGCATTAAGTGGGATACTTTGAATTGAGGGGTGGAGGGAGGAGGAAGGTGATGATAGCCTAAGGGTAATCATGAAGTAAGAAGATGCATGCTACTTACAGTAAGTAAAGAAATGAACACCTCTGCTATGAGGACAGGCTGAGAGAGTTGGGGTTGTTCAGCCTGGAGAGGAGAAGGCTCCGGGGAGACCTTATTGCAGCCTGTCAGTACTTAAAGGGGGCTTATAAGAAAGATGGGGACGGACTTTTTAGTAGGGCCTGTAGCAATAGGACAAGGGGGAATGATTTTAAACTGAAAGAGGGGAGATTCAGACTAGATACAAGGAAGAAATGTTTTACGCTGAGGGTGGTGAAGCACTGGCACAGGTTGCCCAGAGAGGTGGTGGATGCCCCATCCCTGGAAACATTCCAGGTCAGGTTGGACGGGGCTCTGAACAACCTGATCTAGTTGAAGATGTCCCTGCCCATGGCAGGGGGGTTGGACTAGATGACCTTGAAAGGTCCCTTCCAACCCAAACCATTCTATGATTCTATGATGGAGCTTCAGGCTTTCAATTTCCACACATCAAAATGGGTACCGGCAATCAGTCTGTGACCAGAGGACCTTTCTGCGCAGAACAGGTGTAGCTGGTCAGAGGAGACTGCAAGCTCTTCCCACCATTTCTTCATGTGCTTCAATCTGATGGGTGGCTTTCACAGTTCAGGCTATAGCTTGGTCTCCATAATGTTTTCCTGGACGCTGGCAATAATTCATGCAAGTGGATTGTCCTTGGATTCCTCAAAATACAGATGTTTGTAGTTCCTTGTGAATAGCACTGTAAGGAGCTTTGTTCCTGCTTGCGCATTAAAGCCTAGAGATGGAAAGCGTCGTGCTTCCCTTCCCCTCGCCGTGAGACACCTGCTCATAGTGATGGTTGTCAGTGGAAATCGGAATGTGATGGCAATTGAATCTGATCCAGCTTCTCACAAGCAGCATCCTCTTTGGATTTCTGGGCCAGCTCCACCCCTTGCTAAAGGGTATCGCTCTCCTGTCAGGTTGCATGTGCAATTAGAGGGACTCAGATGTGCTGGGCCAGTCACTGGCAGTGTTTTGTGGAAGCGAAAAGTACCGTCTCAGTACCAAATATTTGTACCATCTGTGTTTTCTTCACTAGGAGACAATAAATACCGGCCCTTTTGTAATGCGATCTACGTGCCGACGATGTGGCGGTCGTGGTTCCATCATAACAACACCGTGCGTAGTATGTCGAGGAACGGGGCAAACCAAACAAAAGAAGAGAGTGATGGTTCCTGTGCCAGCTGGTTAGTGGGGTACTTGTGTGCTGCTCTCTGTTAAATGACTATAGTTCTTTGCTTCCACTCGGCCAACAGCAAGGCACTTGCCTCCAAAGCGTGGCTGGTCCCTGCCAGGTACGAATGTGAGAGCAACGTAAGTTGTTTTGCTGCAGAGAAGTTATCTTAAGAGCAAAGCAGGTTGATAGCTTGGCAATTGAAAGGCTTAGTAATGAGATGAACTTTCTGGCCACGGCTATAAATGTTTGCTTTGCCCTTCCTGAGCTGTTTTGGTTCTTGCGTGGATCCTTCTAGGCAGCTTTTGAAGAGTGAAACTCAAAAGATTTTGTTGCCTTGGGTCTTTTGTTTGTCTTTGATGAAGCTTGGGGGGAGGTGGGAATCTTGAAAGCTCGGCTCAGAAAGGAGTGCTGGTGGCCGTCCTCACCAAAGAGGGTAAAATGGGTGGTGGGGCTGAAGGCTTGCTTCTTTGAGACCGCCCTGGGTGAGCACCCTGTAATTTTCCTGCAGCTTGTGGAGGCTGCCCCGCGTTCCTTAGTCGGATGCGTTTCCCTAAAGAATTCTGTAAGGGATTGAAGTAACGAGCCTGCTTGGCGTGTAGCGATCACCTCAGAGGTATAAACGTGTGCTGACACCTCCCTCCTTTGGCCACGGCTCCTGTGGAGAGTGTTAACTGTGCTGCCCGCTGGTAGGTCTTGTGCCTCGTGCTCCTGGATGTGGAGGTGCTGCTGTGGTGGCAGGCTTTTGGGGACGGCAAGAGGTCTGAAGAGAAAAGCTGTAGGTATCCAAGTAACACGTGGATTATAAGGTGACATTCCCTCTTTTTTTCTGATTGCAGGCGTTGAGGATGGGCAGACAGTTCGGATGCCTGTGGGGAAGAAAGAAATTTTCATTACGTTCAGGGTACGTATCGTTATATTGTAGGCTGTTTCCATCACTTAAGTTGGTTGCTTGTTCCCTTCGCAACTGCCTGGGAAGTCTGACTGAATGGGGGACGGAGGAGGAAGAGCGAGTGATCCTTTGAAACAGCTGAGGTAACACGATCCACGTGAACTTTGAGATAGCAGAAGATCTGCATTGTAACAAGTGGTGTAACGTTAAGTCTGCTCATGAAGAATCGCGCTGCTTGTTCCAGGACGAGGCCCTTACGGTAGCGTGCATCAAAATTCAGAGTAGGTCCTTGATGCCTTGAGTCTTTGAGTTGGAAATGTGAAGGAGCTGTCTGCTTGCAGGGGTGGGAGCGCCGAGGAGGGCTGCGGGAATGCCCGTGAGAGGCTGGCTGGTTGTCTCCTTTTGCAGATATATGTTAAGTGCTGCTTTGCACATGTTTTGTAGCTGGGGCCCTCTTCTCCTGTAGGTATCCTGTCATACGCATTCCTGTCAAGGAGGAAACTTTTTTCAGCACCTTTTTTGTGGTGCGGGAGGATTTAATTCTCTTCCAGCCTGTGAGGCCACTGCTAAGGTGCTTGCCTCCCTCTTCTCTTCTGGCTTTCCCCGGTTCAGGGTGCTGGACAAGGCAGTGCCTTCTCTGTCTCTGCAGAATCACCCTGACACTGATAAATTAACAACAGGATTAGGGGAGGGAGTTGCTGAGATAGGAAGCAGGCATCCTCCTAAGCCTCTGGCTAATTACAGATATGTCAAGATCTGTGTTTTTCTAAAGGGCTGAACGTTAACTTGGACTTCTTAGCCGTGCAGTTTTGTGGATGATAAAGGGTCTGACTGCAGCATTCTGGCAGGTTTTATTATGAGAACTTTCAAAGCCATTTACCGTGAGAACTTCATGGCGTTGTGCTCACTTCTGTTTGGAACTGCCTGCCTTTCAGGTTCAAAAAAGTTCTGTGTTCAGAAGAAATGGAGCAGATATCCATTCGGACCTCCTTATTTCAATAGCACAGGCTGTTCTGGGAGGCACAGCCAGATGTCAAGGCTTGTACGAGACAATCAATATCACGGTAAGTACCATTACGTGGAAGAGCTTGGGCATAAATCGAAGTGGGACAGCAGAGACTTCTCCTTTGCTGCAAAGATGGTGCAAATCTCCTAAGTCTGCCAGTATCGAGTTTCAGACTTCTTTAGGGTTGAGCGTCAGGTAGTTTGTGACCTGCTTGATCACACCTCCTTTCCTATCGCTGTGTAGGGACAGGGAAAGGGCGGGCCGGGCGGATCGCTGGACAAATCCCATCCCAGGTCTACAGACTGCGCGAGGTTCTTTACTCGTTCCTTCAGAAGCCTTCCCGTCATTACTGACTTGGCTTCTGAATGTGTCCAGATGCATGAACGTACCAGATCTCTCCCATCCTACTTTGAAGCTTGCTGGAGCAGTAGTTAATTACTGTAGACAAGTAATGTAATTACTATATAAATGGTTAAACTAGAGTAATAAACGTGACCCTTCTGTGTCCACAGATACCCCCTGGTATTCAGCCAGACCAGAGAATTCAAATGAGCGGGAAAGGCATTCCCAAGGTTAACAGCTACGGCTACGGAGACCACTACATTCACATAAAGATAAAAGTTCCTCAGTAAGTAGAGCTAATGCAGCTTTTTGTGAAATCTTGAACTTTTCGCAAAAAACGTTGTTCAGAAAGATTTTGTGAAAATTCCTTACTGCTTTATCAAGGTCATTAATTTCTTACTCTGCTTTTAATTCTGATGTGAGGTAGACTTTTTTTTTTTTTTTTAATGATACCATTTGGCAACCCACCCCAAAAAATCAACCCCTGGAGAAATGCATAAGTAGTTCTTCACCTGCGTGTTTGCCTGGCTGACTGCGATTTTGTCTGGAGCCCGGTTACATAAATTCAGTGTTCTGGCTTATAACGCGTCTGTGCTCTCACACCTACAGCTTCAAGGAACTGAAGTCCTTGGCAGTTGCTTTTCAGGCTGCTTGGCCGCCCTCTGCTCCGGTGGTGAAGGAAACTTTTTAGCTCGTATTGCTGCACTTGGCAAGGGAGGTAATTTCCTGAGGTCTCCCCACCTTTTTTTTTTTTAATGATACCATTTGGCAACCCAGCTCTAAAAATCCTAAGCCCTGGAAATGCATAAGTAGTTCTTCACCTGCGTGTTTGCCTGGCTGACTGCGATTTTGTCTGGAGCCCGGTTACATAAATTCAGTGTTCTGGCTTATAACGCGTCTGTGCTCTCACACCTACAGCTTCAAGGAACTGAAGTCCTTGGCAGTTGCTTTTCAGGCTGCTTGGCCGCCCTCTGCTCCGGTGGTGAAGGAAACTTTTTAGCTCGTATTGCTGCACTTGGCAAGGGAGGTAATTTCCTGAGGTCTCCCCACCAGATGTGTGTTCTGTTGCAGCTCCACACGGTTCTTAGCACTTACTTTGGGTTTTTTCACTGCAGTTTGGTGAAATGCAGTGGGTCATATCTCTTCTCTTCCACTGAGACTTATTCTTTATAGATTGCTCATTTTAAGAGCACCGTTAGGGATTCGCAGTGTCTGCCAGGTGTATTTCCAGTAGCTGCCTCTCGTGCGTGCTGCTGGAGAAGGTTAAAGAGGTCTGTTGATACATCTGTCCCTAAAGGCGGCTGTAACTAAACCTCTGTCTTCAACCTGCAGGAGGCTGACGGATCGCCAGAGAGCCTTAATGATGAGCTACGCCGAGGACGAGGCAGATGTGGACGGCACGGTGAACGGAGTCACAAATACAGCATCAGGTGAGCGGTGGGAAGTAGCGCTTCTTCCTCGTGGAGCTGGTGTGGGAGTGCAGAGCGCTTCCTCAGGGCTCCTGGGGAGGAAGGTGAGCCAAGGTCACCTTGAGACAGCGTGTTGGCACAACCTGCCAGGCATGTTATATTGGAAATAGTTTTAGTATGATGTTAATAGGTTGTAGCACAAAGCAAGGAGGTAGCCTCTTCCCAGAAAGCTTTACTCGAATACTTACTGGGCAAATCTGTGCGTGAATAGAGAGCAGGTATCGAGATACTCCGGGGTCCTGACAAGTTGTGGTGAGTCTCGCTGTGGTGATGAAAGCCTTCTGCTCCCTGCTTCTGCCCCTGTGCCAGAAGTAACTTGTCTTAGTAGCAGAGGTACAAAAAGACAATGTGCTTCAGGCCAATTTTCTGTGTGAGCTAATCTGTTGTGCTTCTGACTGCAGTGGGGACGTTTCTCCTTGAAAGCTGAAGGGAGTACTGCTGTCAGGGCTGCTCTAAGCCATGCTCTCTGCACACGGGGGAATCTTCGATAGAAATGTTCATTGGTGCTGAGTGTTGGCTCCAGCCAGTGGACAGCGTCCGGTGCGATGGAGGGAGTGAAGTCAGCTGGGAGCTTTGTAAAGCTGCTCTTTCAGCTCCAGATCAAAAATTTTGATTGAGCAATTACGTGTTTTAAGTTTCAGGGGTGAGGTACCAGGCATCAACAGCAGCCAAAGGCAAAACATACGGTAGAACAGTAAGGCAAGAGCTTTGTCTTTTGCTACTGGAAAAAAATTTTTTCTTTGCTCGTATTGGAACAATGAACTACTTAAAGCTGGTTGGATTTCTTTTTATGCTTGAAACCAAAAAGAGCATCTGTGACTGCGTACAGCTAGGCAAAGGTGAGAGTCTTTCAAAGCTGCTAAACGATCCCAGGAACTCGGGTCCTCTCTACCACACATGCCAAAGCCTGAGGAATATAGGCTGAAGTTCAGGATATTGGAAGGCAGTATCTGCCAAATACTTCCCAATGTTATGTTTTATAGTGCTTCCATAACACAGAAGTTATGACTTTTCCACTGAGGGTAAGCATTAAAGGTCAGCCTTGGGGGGAAGGGGAGAGATCGCTAAGCACAAAACTTTCATTCCAGCTTTAAAGACGTTTATGTGCCAAAGGAGAAAAATGCTCTCCAAATCTGTTTTTTAAAAAGTAAACCTGCCAGTTTTTACCACGATTAAGGAGCAAGGTGGATTAAAAACAACGCCAGTCGTTTGCAGTGTAGAGACAGGCTGTTGCTGAAAGCGTGTCCTTGCTCTGGGAAGCAGAAATACCCTGAGTGGACGGAGGCGTGTTCTGCCGCAGGCTTCATACCATTGCATCAGTCTGAGCTCGCCAGTCAGCTGTGGGAGGACGGGGAGGACTGGACTTTGTGTTCTCTGTGTGCAAAGAAAGCTCGAGGGGGATTCGGGGGTCTTGTTATTGACAGTTTTACTGTAGAAACAGCAGATTAGCAAAGAGGTCTCCTTTGTTCTTGCTGTAGCCGCTTCTCAGAGGGACAAACAACTTCTCAGGACCTGTTTATATAGGAAAATTATGCTCGTTGCTGACAGAAAGGTTCCTTATCTGGGCACTTGTTCTGCAATACTTGTAGCCTTTTTCATTCTAGCCCGAGTTCGTTTTCTCCTTGATACTGTTTGTCTGAGCATTGCATGAGGATTACTTGAGGCAGGCTCCTGGTATGGTTTCGCACTGCTTTGCTCTAAGGGGTCACGACATGCCCATGAAACAGGAAGACAGATTGTTCCAGGGACCACCAATACAGCTTTTTTTTCTGTAAAGTCATGGCTGGCGGTGGTCAAGTTGACAACTTGGTTTTAGTGGCAGACTCCCAATTCCAAGTGCTTGTTTCCAAAGCCTGTGGGGTCCCTGACTTGATTGTGCAGCGTGAGACTTCCCTCGCCAGTTGGAGGGCTGGGGAGAGGGGAAGGGAACGGTGGTACCTGGGCTCGCAGTCGTCTTTTCCACTTCTGGGGTCCGGGCTCTCCAGTGCTTTCACTGCAAGTGGTCCAGTACTGTGGCTCGCTGCCAGGTGCGGCCCTGTACGCAAGGATGCAGGCAAAACCAGCTGCCTTGACTTGACCATTCCCCGTCTAAAATAACCCTCTCGCTTCGTCAGGGGTGCTGGCTACTGGTGGGAGATGTATCTGACTGCAGCCCTTTGCTGTTTGTGTCCAGGTGGCAGGGCCACGGCTAGCGCTGACGCAGGCGGGGATAGGCCTGAGGCTGAGGAGAACAAGGAGGGATTCCTTTCCAAACTTAAGAAAATGTTTAGCTCCTGACACCCCATCCGAGGTAGGAGGCCTCTTGTGTTTTATTGTCGTCTTTCCCCCACACTAAGCAGAATTTGCACTTCTTGGGAGGTAGAAGCAGCAAAAGCACAGCATTGCTTCTCGCTTAGCCTCAGGCCTTCCAGCCACTGGTGTGAAAAGCCCTAGCTGTCCCCTGTGACCTGCAGCAAAAAGCCAGGGACTAAATTGCATTGTTGCTCCAGCAAAAACGCTGGGTACATCTTCAGGGAGGTTGCTGGCCTCCCCTGCAGCTCTGCTTCCTTGTCCACTCAGTGGCTGTACCCGATTGAAAGCACCGAGGGTGTTCCCGTTAGCTGGTAAAGCTGGGATCGGGCAGTTCTACTGCCACCGCAAAGCCCGGCCTTGCCGGGAGGCGCAGGTAGGCCTGCAGAGCCTCCGGTGCCGGTACGCTCAGGCTGGACTCGCCCCTACCACAGGCTTACAGCACCAGGAGGGAATCGGTCTTTGTCGTAAAGCACAGCAAAGCCCCCGCCAGACAAATGAGTACAGTGTTATAACTCAGGGTGCCATTTAGTTGGTGTTGGCCTGCTGCGAGGGAGCGCTCCGGACTTGAAATCAGCTATGGCAGACTGTGCTGTCTTGGATTCCGGGGGCTCGGCTTCCTGTCACCGCAGGCTTCAAACTTGTCTGTTCTGCGTGGCTGACAAAGCCTGACGGTGGGGAGGTGCTCTGGCGCCTGCGCTCGCAAAGCAGGGTGCAGGGGCTGCTGCGCGCCTTAGGCCGACGCGGTCAGGAAACGCTAAACTTTTCTCTTGCTTCAACCACAGGGAAGCGTTCTACTGGAAACTAAGAGCCAGCCGCAGCAGGTCATCTTTGCAGTCGGGGATGAATCTTTCTGGCAGTGGGCTCTGGAGAGTGAAGGATGTCAGTCAGCAGCACAGCGAGAATCCCAGCTGGAGAGGCTACAAACCACTGAGGCACCAACAAGCATCGTGATACAAAACCCACTCACCGTCCTAGGAAACGGTAATGAAGGAAAATGCCAGCTTTGCAGAAATGCGGTGCTCTCTTGAGGTTGCTCCACAGTCCCTACTGCTGCTGGGAGCTTATTTGGTAAAATTTAAAGTTGAAATATTATTTAGAATCCAAAAAAGTGGAAATGTGAAATAAAAATTGTCCTTCTAGCACAGAGTGGAGCAGTTTGCTGTGTGGAGTCCAAGACGGCTGCTGCTCACTCACGTGCCCTTCTGAATGCTAGATGTGCTTGGTGAACTTGTCACCGCTTATTTTCTCCTAGGAGACTCGGTGGGTCAGTGAGTTTGAACCCTGTCATCGCGACAGCCCCCCTAGCTGTCCTGCACATCTCTCTGAGTGGGAAGGCTCCCTGTGGCTGGGACTCGTCAGAGCCCAGCTGCCCTGGGGTTTCTTAGTCCTGCTGATTTCCTGCACAAAGAGCAGTGATGGGATCTGCCCTTTGCCTGAGGTTTCCCTCCCCCCCAATAACTAAAGTTACAACACAAATGCTGTCGCTTCCGAATGGGTACAAGTTTATCACCGAGCCCTCTGCCAGTTTGGGACAAAGTCTTTTATTACATTAGCGCAACACCCGTAGCATAAATGATTGGTCAAAGAGTCATCGTTCCCACATGTGTGAGAATACAAGTGAAGTGGATCACTCCTTCCGGGTGGAGTTGAGCTCTTGCAGTGAGTATGTCCATGGTTACCGTAGCCCGCTGTTGTTAGTTATACTGTGCAGGTACCATCAGCCCACATACTACTAATCGACCAGTTAAACGAGGACATGTCGTAGTCTTGCCCTTCTTAATTTGCTGAAATAAAGCACGCGTTGCCTCCTGATTAAACTGTCTGTAAAGTGATTCTGTATCCATGTAAATAAGATTGACTTCATAAAGATATTTAACACGTGCTGTGCCTCACTGCCTTGTCTATTCTTCCAACCTTGTCTGTTACCCCCTTTCCCTCCCCCAGTAACAGGAACGAAGGTCTTCTCTCGGACAAGGAGAGGACGGGGCTAGATGGCTTGAGCATCTCTCTGGTGGCTGCAATTGACTTTAAGCACAGGCAGACTTCTAAATCCCAGAGCTCTTATCCGACCAGTACCTGAAGCATATGGTGGTGTGGGGGAAGGAGCTTTTTAAGCGAGTCTTAAACCCTGAGGTTGGACAGTCTTGCAGAATTTTTATTCGACTCACAGGGGCAGCGACTGAAATTAGCTCCAGGAGCCCAAAGGCCAGGCCAGAGCTGAGAGCTGTCCGAGGTGGGGAATTAGGTTCAGCTTTCAGGTTACACAGCACAGGACGTCACAGCACGGTCCCCTGTGCCAGGGTGGTGCTAACGCAGCGCTCGGTCTCGCCAGGCGTGCTGCTCTGCCCGCTGGCTCACCTGCGGTGCCTGAACCTGCTCCATGGAGAAACCCCAGCGTTTTCTGTTTGCTTAGGAGCCTGCGCCGGTGCTGGTTGAGGACCGGCCGTGGGTACCTGCAGCGGCTGCAGAGAAGGCACTGCCCTTCGGGACCCAGAATTCAGCCCACTGAGGTGCTGCGTGCTCAGAGCTGCCTAGGAAAGAGGGTGATCCTGGGAAAACAAGCCGCCGCCGCCACCCTACAGACATGAAAACACCCAGAATCACTAAACAAACACCTCCCTGAAGATAGCGTGCAAAGGTAGCGCTTCTCCCGCCTGTCTGCCTGCAGCTGTACAGCCTTTCCTCTTGCTCTAGTCTAAACAGTCTCAACCAAGTCACAGGAGAGCCCTGTGGCACACGCGTGGACCAAAGCTCTTCCCAGCTCTGGCAGGGTCAGCCTTTCGCCAGGGCGCTAGTGGAAAGGCAGCGCGGCTCAGCGCAGCTCACCTCCTTGGCCAGTTCCCGCTACCTGCTGCAGAAGCTCGGGTAGAAGAGGAGGGAGGGAAGGGTCAGAAGGCGGCCTTACTGTCTGCCACCCGCTGATGGAAGGCGCGGGCCTTGGGGTTGAGGTTCATGTTCAGGTCCACGTCGCGGTCTGGCTTCAGGGCATAGAAACGGAACATAGCGGCCATTCCCTTGGCACCGGGGGAGCCACGTTTCACATACTCCTCTGGTGAGATCTGCGAAAAGAATTGGGGGGAAAAAAGCCAGTCTTGTCACAGGGCAGAGGCTGCTGGGGCACTCCCATTGGACCATGCAGGGAAGCCAAAGAGGGCTGCATTAGAGCAGCCTGCCACGTTATTTCCACTGCTGAGGAGGGCTCTGCTGCTCTGCAAGTCATTTCGGTTGGATTTGCGTAAAGGAAGCAGCAGCCCTGCAGCATGACGGCAAGGCGGCGGAAAGCCTTCGCCAGAGCATGCTGGTGGGAGGTGGGATGAAGCAGACCACTGTCTCTTGGTTGGTGCTGACCCAGGAGGTCCCCCCAGTCCACCCTTCCTCCAGGTACAGCATGAAAAAGGGTGGTGGTGGTGAAATCATGCCGCACAGGCGCTCGGGAGCTTGTTCTGGATCTGTCCCGAGCCAGCTGCCCCCCCCTGGAGCCGCAGCCACTGGCAGGGCAGTGCCGCTGAGCACCCTGCAGCCCTGCCTGGCAGGGAACGGCCCAACCTGCTTGGGGCCAGCACCCGACTCTGGCACACAGCCAGCCTGGGCACGGGCTCAGGCACACAACCCACTCTCCCCAGCAGCCGAAGCCCGGAACAGCTATGAGGGAGCCCTTCCCTGCAACGGGGTACGAGCGTGGCTGGGGGGGGTCTAGAAACACGGGCTTGGGGGATGCAGGAGAGCTCTGGAGAGCCCGAGCAACCCAGGCTGCCCCTTGTACCCCAGCACCCACCCTCCCTGCCTGAATCAAAGGGTGGACCACCGTGCTTCTGCACTGTGCTGGGGCAGTCTTCTTCTGGGAAGAAGAGAGCTGCTTATTTGTCCCTGGCAGAGCAGAACCTGCAGAGAGCATCAGAGGTGCTTCGTTTCTACTGAAACGTGCTTTGTTCTCAAAGCAGAGCGCCACTGCACTCTGGCACACAGCCAGCCTGGGCACGGGCTCAGGCACACAACCCACTCTCCCCAGCAGCCGAAGCCCGGAACAGCTATGAGGGAGCCCTTCCCTGCACCGGGGTACGAGCCGTGGCTGAGGGGGTCTAGAAACACGGGCTTGGGGGATGCAGGAGAGCTCTGGAGAGCCCGAGCAACCCAGGCTGCCCCTTGTACCCCAGCACCCACCCTCCCTGCCTGAATCAAAGGGTGGACCACCGTGCTTCTGCACTGTGCTGGGGCAGTCTTCTTCTGGGAAGAAGAGAGCTGCTTATTTGTCCCTGGCAGAGCAGAACCTGCAGAGAGCATCAGAGGTGCTTCGTTTCTACTGAAACGTGCTTTGTTCTCAAAGCAGAGCGCCACTGCACCCCTCATCCATTGTACCGGCCGCCCGAGGGGAGCAGCACAGCCAAAGCACAAACACAAAATTAAAAAGTCACAGGGCACGGAGAGGCCAGGAGCACTGGGTGACACAGCAAGGCTCTCGGGGAAGACCTGCTGAAGGGAGGGGCACGCGGCAAAGACCTGTTCTGTAGGTACGCAGCCCCACCAGCGACTGCTCGGCCCCTGGCTCTTCTGGAGACCTCCCGCTTCAGTTATCCCTCAGAGCCAGGCACAGACCTGCCCGGGCGCACGCGCGCGCTCCATGAGCATGCATTGTCTCAGTGACAACACCAACAAGGCAGTTTCGGTGCCAACGTGTGCTCCAGCCGCACGCAGCGGCAGCCGGACTAATCCTGGACACCAGCGCTAGGTTGTACCAAACCCGTACACCGAGCTACAGGGGCCCTCCACCCCGGCAGCTCCTGGCCTTGCTGCCGGGGCAGGACAGCACTTGTTTTGCCAGTGCTGTCCATGCTCAGCCCCCATACAGAGCCCCCTACTATTCCAGACCAAGGGGAGAGGCCAGGCGTGCTGCCCCTCTGCTGCTGCCAAGCAGGGGTGCGCACCCGCAGCCAACAGCAGCCCGGCCTGGGCAGGGACCTGCAGAGCGCCTAGCTGTTGGGAAGGCACCGGGATCGTCCCCCCGCCACCTGAAGGCGGGCTGCAGGGCCCTGAGCCAGCTTCCCCCCACCTCAAGAACATCACGTACACCAAGGGATGCTTCCTACCTTGCTGGCTTCCACCGTCTTGCCCGTCTGCTGGGAGAGGACAGCGGCGTACTCTGCCTCGGTGAGCTTGCCAGTGCTGAGCCCGATCACTCGGCCTATGTACTCCTCTGGGGACTTCAGCAGGCAAAGCACAACAGGCCCAGTGTCCTCCACTGCCATCCCACCCATGAGGGTGTTCCCCATGGGCAGCACTGTATGGGAGAGATTGATCCTGGTCAGAGTGCAGCCCAGCTCTGAGGAGGTACAGCTGGAGTTTTCGGCACCCAGCCTCTGAACACGAGGTGAGGAAGAGCCGTGAGCAGTGCATCAGTGTGGCAAGCCACGAGAGCACCTGCAGGCCTGAGCTAAGAGACCGTGAGTGGCCAGAGCAGCACCGCGACTCACCCAGACCTGCAGCCCCACCTCTGACCTCCGACATCCCAACTGCAGGGAGCTGGGGTGTCCAGAGACACTCTGGGATCTGCAGAGCAGCCCTCAGCACCAGAAACAGGACTGGCATCTCACTTACTTATTTCTTGCAGGCCACCAAACAGGTCTGAAGGACCATAATGCAGCTGCAACTTGCTGTGGTCAAGCTGGCACAGGCCCCTTTTCCCCATCAGTCTGCAGTCCTGGTGGTTTCACCGCCCCTCAGTGAGACACTGCACAGCGGGAGCAGAAGAGAACTACAGGGCAGCGACCTGGAAAGCGAGAGGTCCTGTCTTACCCAGGACAAAGGTATCTCCCTGCGGGACCTTCTGCGGGTTGAAGACGGAGAGAAGTTCTCGAAGTAGAACGGCAGTCAGATGGTCGTGGTGGGAACACCAACTTTCTGGAAGTACTCCTCCACCACACCTTTGCCGTCAAAGTGGAGCACCTCCAGCCAGCCCCCCATCAGCTGCCTCACATTTTCCAGGCCTCGACGTGGCGCAGACCGAGGTGCTTCGACAGGTCAGCAAGCCGCTTTCCCTGGGCGAAGGGTGAAGCCGGCCATGAAGAGGGGAATGGCTCCCTTGGGACACGCGGGGACTTTCATCGTCCCCACACATCCCCCCTTCCCCTTCATTGCACTGGGCAGGAAGGCAGGATCCAACACATGCCAGCTGAGCAAGCTCCTCAGCATCTGGCACCCCAAGCCCTCAGCTGGAACCAGGGCTGAGCAGACCCAGCGAGCCCTGTGAGTTGCCCAGGTGGAGCCGAGTCCACTGCTTACACCATCCTACATTAGAAAGACCGCACACCCTCCAGCTTTGGTGCTAGCTCCTCCACCAAGCACACAAACACCAGCCCTAAAGATCTGCCGGGGCCAACATACCTGCCCTAAGATATCTTTTGTTTGCTGCCATCCAGGCATGGCAATGGTGCCACCTTGCAAAATCTGTCCTGGGGTGAACACCGTCCTTGGGGAAGGCCCTGGGATTTCTGATACCGCAGCACATTTTGGCCCCAAAGCTGCAAGTGCAGAGAACTACAGGACTGCAGGCAGCGACAGTCCTGGCTCAGATCCCAGTGAGTGGCCAGAGCAGCACCGCGACTCACCCAGACCTGCAGCCCCACCTCTGACCTCCGACATCCCAACTGCAGGGAGCTGGGGTGTCCAGAGACACTCTGGGATCTGCAGAGCAGCCCTCAGCACCAGAAACAGGACTGGCATCTCACTTACTTATTTCTTGCAGGCCACCAAACAGGTCTGAAGGACCATAATGCAGCTGCAACTTGCTGTGGTCAAGCTGGCACAGGCCCCTTTTCCCCATCAGTCTGCAGTCCTGGTGGTTTCACCGCCCCTCAGTGAGACACTGCACAGCGGGAGCAGAAGAGAACTACAGGGCAGCGACCTGGAAAGCGAGAGGTCCTGTCTTACCCAGGACAAAGGTATCTCCCTGCGGGACCTTCTGCGGGTTGAAGATGGAGAGAAGTTCTCGAAGTAGAACGGCAGTCAGATGGTCGTGGTGGGAACACCAACTTTCTGGAAGTACTCCTCCACCACACCTTTGCCGTCAAAGTGGAGCACCTCCAGCCAGCCCCCCATCAGCTGCCTCACATTTTCCAGGCCTCGACGTGGCGCAGACCGAGGTGCTTCGACAGGTCAGCAAGCCGCTTTCCCTGGGCGAAGGGTGAAGCCGGCCATGAAGAGGGGAATGGCTCCCTTGGGACACGCGGGGACTTTCATCGTCCCCACACATCCCCCCTTCCCCTTCATTGCACTGGGCAGGAAGGCAGGATCCAACACATGCCAGCTGAGCAAGCTCCTCAGCATCTGGCACCCCAAGCCCTCAGCTGGAACCAGGGCTGAGCAGACCCAGCGAGCCCTGTGAGTTGCCCAGGTGGAGCCGAGTCCACTGCTTACACCATCCTACATTAGAAAGACCGCACACCCTCCAGCTTTGGTGCTAGCTCCTCCACCAAGCACACAAACACCAGCCCTAAAGATCTGCCGGGGCCAACATACCTGCCCTAAGATATCTTTTGTTTGCTGCCATCCAGGCATGGCAATGGTGCCACCTTGCAAAATCTGTCCTGGGGTGAACACCGTCCTTGGGGAAGGCCCTGGGATTTCTGATACCGCAGCACATTTTGGCCCCAAAGCTGCAAGTGCAGAGAACTACAGGACTGCAGGCAGCGACAGTCCTGGCTCAGATCCCAGAAGGCTCTGCGGAGCCGAGTCTTCCCAGCCCTGCTACTCTGACTCCCAGGCAGTGCCACCACGCCAGGTCTCGAGGCATTTAACCACTTCCTGAAGGCACCACATCCTGGAGCCACCTGACTGCGAGGGAACAGGCGACAAGTTCTGGCTTTGCAAGAACTGGGACCTGGTTTGTTTGCGAGGCCTTGGGACTTTTCTGGACTGGCCACTTGAACCATCAGGGCTGGCAAGGCTGCACTAAAAGCTGTCCCATGACCCCCACCCCGATGCCACACGGCTGTCCCTTGATCACCCCCTCCCAGGCCATTCTGCACATGGTCCCAGTTAAAGCAAGCACCGGTACCTGCACGGTTTCTTTCTCTTTGCTGCAGTGCTTCCAGAAGTTGGTTACAACAAAGGCTCCATAAGCACCCGCCAAGGCCAGTTCCAGTGATGGCTCATCGTCCTGATCCGCCTTCACGACCTCAGCTCCCCTCTGCTTCAGCTCCTCGGCCTCCTTCTTCACGGGGCTCCGCATTACCGCACGGACGTTGAAGGTCCCCTCTTCTAGCAGAGCCCGGGCCACGTAGCCCCCCTGAGCCCCTGTAGGTGCAGACCTGTTCAGAGCCCCGGCTTCCCGCAGGGCTCTGCTCGTAAAGGGAGCTGGGATGAGCTGGAACTGTGAGATGGAGCTGCTCGACCCCACGCTCTCTCTGCGACACAAGGACCAAGTCCCTCCAGCCCGTCCTCCTACCAGCCCCACCGCCCGTTCCCTGCGCTGCTGCTCCAGCCAGGCAGGCGCTTTCCAGACCCCCTGAACCTCCACGGGGCCCCAGAGGCCGGGTGTTCTGGAAGCTGTCGGTGCCCCCGCCTTCTGCCCGCCGGGACCCGAAGCACCTCTCCTCGCCGCGGCAGCAGGAGGAGGGCGGGTCACTGTGGCACGGCCCAACCCTCGCCCTTTCCACCGGCTTGGCC